TGGAGGGAGCCGGGCCTCTGCACTAGCCCTTTGGAGGGGTGGGGTCTATTCAGGACAGAGGGGCCCCCCCTCCCGCTGGGGGCCAGAAGCTCCCTCAGCTGTTGCCTGTGGGCTGGCCTGTCCTGCTCCTGCCTGGCTGCCACAGTGGGGAGGGGAAATGCTGGGCCCCGTTCCCAGGGCCAGGCTGGGAGGCAGGAGGGCGCTGGCACACTGGCTCTTGGCCCCAGCTCTTAGCCTGGTGGAGGTGGATTCCTGAGGGAGGTTAAAGCAAATCACCTCCCCCTCCCTCCCCCTGCAAGTAATGAGGGGGGGGGGGGCTGCTCTGGGCAAGGCTGCTCTGCTTGGGGGCCGGGCTGGGCTGCCATTGCCGCCCCCTGCCCCGCGCCGGGCTTGCCCCCCGCGCTGTGTAATGCAAACCCGCCGCTGCGCTGCGCTGCGCGCCCTGGCAAGGTCACTGCGCGCCACGGGCAGCGCAAGCGGCGCCCGGCACCTTCCCACCCGCGCAGGGGCTGGCGAAGTTCGTTCTCCGCCCAGGCACCGGGGCAAAAGGCGAAGAGACCCTTGTGTTTTCCTGTCCCCCCGCCCCCCGCTCACTGCACTCCCCGCCCGAGGCTGGGGCTTGTCTCCCGTCCGTGCCCTGCGGCGGGGGGCCCGAGCAGGCGAGGCACTTTGCCAGCGTGGGCTGGGGCGCGCAGCAATATTGTGACAGGGATTTTAACACCCGGGCGCTTTGCGCCGCGCAGCGCCCGGGAAATGCGCCCACGCGCCCGCCCCTCCCCTGCCCGCAGCCCCGCGGAGCCCCGGGACCCGGCGCAGCAGCCGCCCGCAGCACCCGGCCGCTGGGCTGCTCCTACCTGGGCTGCGGAGAGGCCGGGATCAACTTCGGCTCCTGCCAGGGTCCAAGCCCCGCCGCTGGGGCTGGCGGCACAGAGAGCCGGGCCAAGCCGAGAGGCAGCAGCCGGCCCCGCTTCAGCCTGCGGGTGGCTCTGGAAGCCGGGGAGACAGACAGATAACGAGACAGACAGACACTGGGCGCCGGTCGCTGCGCAAGGGTCCTCAGCAACATGTGGCACTGAGCTATCCCAGCAGGCTCCCCCCCTCTTGGGACCCTGCCCAGGCCTCCCCCTCTGCAGAAGTGTGTGTGTGTGGGGGGGGGGGCTGGCTCCACACCACACGGGGCTTCCATCCTTACCCGGCAAGCTGCAGCAACATGTGTCCCTCTGCCAAAGCGCCGCCGTTCCCCTCCAGCTCCTGGGAGCTGTCTGTGATCCTGGGAAGGCTTCCGCCTGGCAGAGCGGGGACCTCGCTCAGCTGGCAGCCAGCTGATTAACACACACTCTCCCATGGCTGTTTGGGTGACCAGCATTAAGTGGTGCCATTTGTTTTGTCAGAGAGGTAACCATGACAATCACCCCAGACGCACACCGCTGTCCTCCCCCCCCAGTCTCCAGTGTCCAGCATTTCTCGCTGCTTTGCAGGGCAGCATGTAGCTCATCAGTTGCAGGGCGCAAGTGGATGTGACTCATCTGTGTGTTGAAAATGACCATTCTTTCTGCAGCCTTCAGCCATCTGAGTAGCTAGAGGAGAGCCTGGTAGATGTACATATGGTTCCCTAATGCACCTCATCTGACCCTGGCATGGGGAAAGAGAAGTTCTAAGGCAGGCAGAGCAGAAGAAGATTTCACCTCAGATAGAAAAGTTACCAAGGGAGTGTTTTAACAGCCCAGTGCCCACACTAGAGTCTCCCAGCAAGGCCCAAGAGTGAAATTTTTCACGGCAAGCTCTCAGAAAAAAACAAACATTCCTTAGTACATTTCTCTGCTGTTCTCCCCCTTTTCCCACCCTTACCCTGTTCAAATAAAAGTGCAGGATGTGTCAGCCTCTTTGGAGACTGTTTTGAGACCAGGAAGTTTGGCAAAAGTCAGCTCTACCTTCCTTCCCTCACCACAGCGCTCCCTGATTTCTTCTGAAAACCCATGCAGTCCTGCTTGCGGGATCTATCTCCCGGCTTCTGCTCAGTCAGCTGCACCAGCTGCCTTTTCCTTCCCAGATATGTTCCTGAGAATCCTTTCAGTGGCTGCTCTAAGGAAGGTCCCTCAGCAAGCAAAGCAGAGGATTGTGGGTCACATGTGAATTCCAACATGTCTTTTCCATCAGCATGTATTATTATTTCTATTACTGTAGCAGCTAATGGCCCCCACCAAGCTTGGAGTCCTTCTG